GAATGTAACAGTTCTGTTCTGTGTAACTGATACAGGAGTTGTGAACAAGGTAAAATCATGGAAAGCATCATTTTTAAGACCAGCTATAAAATCCATAGAGACAGACAGTGGCCCAGCAGTCGCCTGGGACTAGGGGTGGGAAAGGGGATTGGCTACAAATGGGCCTGCGGGGTCTTTCTGGGGTGATGGAAATGGTCAAAAATTGCATTTGTGGAGATGGTTGTCCAACTTTGTAAATTTACTAGAAATCACTGAATTTTAACTTAAGCAACTTTTATGGTATATAAATTATACCTTAATAAAGCTACTAAATTAAAAAAAAACAAAACCAGTAGCCACAGAGATACACAGTGGCCCCCATCTGAGGTTTCACTGTGTGTAGTTTTCCTGTGGCTTCAGTTAACCTGTAGTCAGCCGCCCTCCGGCAAGTGAGTGCGTATGGTACAGTGGGATGACCACATTCACATGGCTTGTATCACAGTACATTCCCATAATTTTCCTATTTTTATTGTTGTTAATCTCTTACTGTGCCTAATTCACACACTGAACTTGATCGTAGGGATGCAGGTATAGGAAAAACATAGCGTACATGGGGCTCGGTTCTATCCGAGGTTCCAGGCCCCCCCAGGGGACTTGGCACACGCCCCCGCAGGTAAGGGGGGACTGCTGCATCTTTAGCAGAAGCAAGAGCAGCCCTGAGTGGGGGCAGCGTACACCGACGGCCAGCCTTAGCTCTTGCTGCAAGGCGAGGGGCCCTCGTGACAGCCCTGCGCTGGCTCGGCCCACTGGTGCCTGTGCTCCAGTCTGCCTCCTGAACCCCAACGCACAGGGCTTTCTGCAGCCCAGGCCCAAGGACTCACTTCCTGAACCAGGACCCACAGCCTCCCACCCATGGAGATGGGCAGGGATCAGGGTACCCCCAACCGCAGCCCCGCCCAGCCTGCTCCAGCACCTTCCGTGTCCCCGTCCAACTTGGCAGGCCTCTCACTCCAGGGGGACTGAGTGTCCCGAACTTCCAGAACACAGCCAGGGCCCCGCACCTGGCCCCAGGAGCCAGGAAGCCTAAGCAATGGGCGAGGGCCACAGCAAGGCACTGTACACGTGTGGGCTTGCTTTCTTTCAGGGATTTATTAAGGCATTGAGCACAGTGTGATTTTTAGCCAACTGAAATGAATCCAAGGACTATATCGGGACCTGAGGCATGTGCTTTTAAAGTTAACAGGAAGGGTGATGAGCTGAGAGCATGTCATGTCATGCCTGTGCGCGGCGCCCGCCCGGGGTGATTT